ATTTGCACAGTAAACAAAAAGTAGTACGAATCGCGCATTTAAATGATCTGGAAATAAAAATACCTTCAGATTTCCGGTGTAATAATCCTCTCTATATGAAGTTAACTTAAAAATTCTGCAGGTGTGTAATTATCTATGTATTATTTCGATACTATCAATAGTATCACGTAATGGATTTAGTTTCACTTTCTGCAATGCTCATTGTAATAAAAATATAATATGTTTTTCAAAACTGTGTCTGTTACATTTGCAGACATGAGGGGATCCACTGATAGTTGCACCTGAGGCAATGTCCGACAGGTAGCTTTACTGATGAGTCCTCTAGCGAAACTAGAATGAAACGCAAATCTCTCTTTTCGTAGTTCCGACTACTCTTCTTTCTCTCCTCTATATCAATGGCTCGACGTACATATGATATGTTCACTTTTTGTTAGGCCGATATTTCAAAAGTATAACACTATTGCAAAACCCCTTATTTACTCGTATTACTAATTAAAAATTTGTAATAGCGATCAAATGGAAAATATATTCAGTTAAGATTATATGAAATATATAAGATAATAATATAACGTTAAAATTACTACAATACCGTTAAACTTGTTTTAGTAAAAATCGCTAAATGTGAACTTACAGTGTACGTGCTATACATATACTATAAAAACCGACTTTAGAGGCCACGGTAAGTAGGAACGGGAGCAAGAACCCAAACAACAACAAAGGATCAGGAAGGCTAATATGTATATTTCCTGAGTCGAAACAGCAACATGTACAATCCATAATGTAAAAAGTCAAGGACGTATCTTTCCAGGGTTATGCAAAATTCAAATCTCCAGTGAAGCAAGTGATCGACAATGTTTTACCAGCGTAATCGATTATGCAATTGGTTAATGTCGTATTCCACGTATTGAATCAGCAAGTTTGCGCCACTCTAGTTTTAATGGGAGATTCTAGAAGCCAAAATAAGACGAAAATTAAGAACACTAATTTGTTGATTGAGGCTTCATTAAAAAGTTATAGAAACATTTCCGGCCACACGGTAGATTTTCGGTAAAAAAATTTTTTCTCGAAAGTGCGTAGAATTTTGGACATGTGTCTATTCACCAAAAATGATTATAATTGACCCCTTCAACCGAAAATAATTTTCCCAGAACGATTTGAAATTTTTTAATTTTGTTGAAAAATCTGTCCACCTTTCTGAATTTTTTTCTCGAAAGTGCGTAGGAATTCGAAGGTATGTCTATTCACCAAAAATGATTGTAATTGACTCTAATAGTAACTGCCATTAAAATTGTTCTCAAAGGTGGCCGAACACCCTGTATAATTGAAATTGTCGTATAATCTAAGAAAAAACTTGGTTAACTTCCAATGTATAATCTAATTACTTAGAACGCAAAGGTCTAAACTTTTGCGACAGAAAGGAACACGTGTACAAGCTTCGAATATAATTTCAATATTGAATAACGGAAACTAAAAGGCCAAGAAACTCCCACCCTTGGCGAGGCTGAATACGTCTACGGAACAGTGAAAGAAGTCCGAAGCGACTTGGGACGCAGGTAACGACAGAGAAATGTTTTCAACAATTAATGCCATTTGCAGAGAGTAAGTTCTCAATATCTTTTGACCGTATTATAAAAATTTTTTATTGTGAAAAGTTACCATTGTGCCTGAGGCCTTGTTGCCGTTGCATACCCTAAGTAACAATGACAGCTATAGCACGAACGGATCGGTTAGTTTCGATATATGTAGATTTGACTTAATCACTTGGATTTGTAAAATTAATTGCATAAAAGTACCACTGCAGATAAACTCTGAAGATATCTATGTTTCCAGATCATTTAAATGCATACTTTACACTATTTTCTGCTCTTAATTTCATTTGGAAATGTATTGGACAAAGTAAACACAATTGAAATTATTTTTCGTTAAAATTGCAAGAGAGTGAAGAAAAAAGAAAAGTGGATATAAATTGTGTAAAATAATGGTAAATCGTAGAAACGATATATTTTCCAAAGACAGTGATTTTATTGCTATTTTATCGTGGAAGTATTATTAAAATGTCTTTCATCGTTCAAAATTAATATATTTTGATTTTTATAGAGTGGTACTTTCACACCCCTCCTGGTTGCGTATCCTATATCCGCAGGGGAGAATTGACAACGGAAATTGATGACGATCGGATAGAACTACGAATGTGAAATATGTGATGTAAATTCAGAAGGGTGGAAATCGTCGATTTGGATGAGACTCTTTGAAAATGACAAAGAACAATACCTTAACCAAACATATGTCCCAAAATGTAGTCGTTAAGGAATACTCCAAAAAATTGGAACGCTCTGTAAATTAGTATCGAATGCTGCCTCTTCGATTTCACAAGGAATGTAAGCGTACATGTGTCCCATTGTTAGTATTAATAAGTTTTGTTGTAGAATTAAGAGTACTCTTAATTAATGGCGACCATTTCACCGTACTAAATCCAAACGATGTTAGCTCTCTTCTAAAATCAATAGAAAACGTACGTAAGAAGTGGTAGAGGGTCGATAACTTTCCAACTCTGCTACATTTCCTCGCAGAAATGAATCAACTCGTTCCTGGTGCAATAATTGCCGTTTACGCTTCACGAACGTCTGACGTGAAACATTTTAATTATTGCAGCATGCTGTAGCACATGCGTAACTCGTTTGATCACCGATTCCCTTGTCGTGTTCTTTGACAAAGGAAAGAACACCCTTCGTTTCGCATTGATCTAAAGCTAACAAAGCAACAACCAATTTCGAAACAACTTAATCAAACGAACCGTACCATTCCTTTCAATTATTTGATATCGTGAACTTGGTGTGTTGCGTCATCGACTCGTAATACTCAATTATTCCAATCGATCGCTGAAACCGTCATACGGGAGACACGCTAATTGCAAAAATCTATGACTGACGCTTTCATAAAGAATAAAAAAAAGGATAGTTGCGTAACATTGAAATGTTTTTCAAATACTAATTTATAAGACCTACAATAATTTCTATATTCATTTTGCACGTAAATTGTCCAAATCATTTTAGTCGATACTATAATAACGGCTGTGTTCATCCAAGCTCGAACTCTGATAAGTTATTCTTACATCGAGTATAATGTTTCGTAACAACTAAAGACGAGTTATTTTAAAGAACTTTATTATTCTAGTCTTATACCTCGCCGGATTGTGAATTATTAACGTGGCTTATCATTTGACTCTATCGCTAAACTACATTGTAGCAACAGACTCTGAATGTGTCACACAGTAATCATTTCTTGAATTTCTAGTGCAAAATCTATAAACTTGAAATAAATAATAATCAACAGATTGAAAGATGATTAATCAGAGATATCTAGAATCAGCAAAGGATGAAACTAACTTAGTTAGTAACGTTACTATGATTACTTTGTATCCTTATTTCAGTAGTATCGTATTGCTTTTGCAATTACGAACCAGAAATTCTGTTGTTAACGTAATTTTTCGTGCATTTTAATTCAATAAATGTCAACCTACGTTTTGGAAACCAGCCACGAGAATTTCGCCTACATTTAAGAATATCCGTTTACTAAAAATTGCTTTGTACATGATATTGCCAAGCGATAGCACGAACGATAAACAGAGTTATTGCTTCGGTAAAAATAGGTCGAACCTATAAAAACGAATTATCTCCGTACAAGGTGTGTTTCTAAGATCTACGATCTGAATATTTCTTTTCCTCAAAATCAAACCTATTGCAAACAATTCATACTGTAATTTCTACTCATTTTCGTGATTCTCCCCGCATTCAATAATTGTATAATAGAATATTATAAATAATATTCAAAACATTGAAACATTTTCTGTCTACCACTTACGATTCTAACGATTTAAAAAAAATATGCTGTAACTGGTTCAGTCGTATTTTTCGTTGTAATTGTCCTGGAAATATATACGACCCACTCCACGTCAAATCGTAGAAGATTTAATACCACATTCACCGATTGCTCTAAAGCACGTGCCACGTATAGGTACACCCAGAAAATTAATTCGTGTAAAATTTCAACCACCTAGCTCGAACGGTTTACAAGATATTAATGGCCCGACGAACCACAACTTCGCTCTCAATATGCACGCTCTATTTCAGGCTATAGTCGAGACAAAATCAACACTGCTCAAGGCATTTCCGTGACTATGAATCATAGCAGACATGACTCTTTCATTTACTCCATGCTACCTAGCCTCTTTGTTCGAGAGACCGAGAGCGTGTGCCTGCAGGTTATGCGCGAAAAGAAGGAAACGTGGTGGGGGGGTAAGAGCGTGGTGGGGGATGCCTCGTGAGTGGCCTTGATCGACCAGTTGATTTTACTTGGACTACGACACAGAAACTACTCGATAAAAGTCGCACAATCAAGCTCAGAAACTTTTAACGAGCTTGCTAGACGATTTAATTTCAGGAAACGATCGGTTTTATTCGTACGGTCGTGCGAGTTGACAGGTTGCTCGCAACGAATAAAGCAGCAGTTTTCTGAAACTTGCTTTCTCTATTACTGTATACGTTATGCTTTCATGTACTTCAAAAAAATTGCCGGCTAACGAGGACGGTATTAGTATCCGTAAATTGTCCTCGTCGTAAAGTCATTAAATAAGATAAAATAGACACGGAGAGCGACGGGAGTAGTTCTGAGGCTGTTATCGAGGCAAAGATTGGAACATTTAACGAGAAGTTTCCGTATCTTTCGTTTACAGTCGCTCGAGGGCTGAACGAGCGCTCTTTTGAACCACCAAACAATCGGTGATTATGGCGTCCAGTTGTATGCGACTTGACGTAAAGTGGCGTCATACAGGCGTCCAGAAGTGGAAAGAACGGGTGAAACTAGATACGAAAAAAGCATTGAAGAGAGCTAACGCCGTATCGTGTCCCCTCGAGAATGCATAGTAAAGAGTACGTTCTGTGGAACGGCTGTACACGCAGAGAAAACATGAACGAATGAGAAAAAGGTTGGTGAGAACATACCGACGCCGTTTGCCTGCGACGACTGAAGTTGCACGGCGACGCTGAACCCGCGTAGCTTCACCGGTGCGGAATTTTCCTTGCCCGCCAGGAGGGCGCATTGCGGCTTTAGATCACGATGAATTATGTCGTTCTCGTGGCAGTAGCGCAACGCCTCCAGGATCTGTCGCATGTAATGGCTGGAAAACGAAAGGGAGCGTTACACTCGGATACCAAGCGGGATGGAAAAGTTGAGAAACAGATGGGTGTCGTTTTCTGCGCTCGATGAAAGACGGTCCCGAGTCTTGTTGCACCGTAACACGCGGTAAAAGTAGCACAGAGGGAAATTATTGATTTTCTCGCAACGATGTTTTGCATTTCAACAGATCAAATCGTCAGGGTACTTACGTAAGTCAGGTTTCTTCACTCGGTGAGGACTTTTTCGGACAAACGTTCAGGCCTAACGTTAAGTGATTAACAAGTGTTTAGAATCGATATTGTTCTCCTCGAAATATCACAATTCACAAGAAACGTAATCGATACAAATTATCGCGAATACTGCAAATGCTATGTTTACACTCGATAGCATAACAAGTCATTTAATATAAATCATCATTTTTGTGGCAGGTAAAAGTATTAAAGTATCTTTGTATCGCGTCGTTCATAAATAAAGGTGAGTACGTATACGCAAAATCAATGAGAGAGAAACACTGCCTTATCGAAATGAATGCTTCCACCCGGTTTCACTGTTCTCGATTTCCTACGCCGTTCCCTTCAACCCTGCTGTTATTTGTGAAATTAATTGGTTTGTTCTATATCCATTTCTCCTAAAATATACTTCACTCGCGTGGCATTTGACGTTTAACAGAGCGGAACTCATCGTAAATAAAAAAGATGATTTTCAATCTTCGAAGGACAGTCGTGCCACATGAATTTAAGAATGGGGAAAAATAAACACGTGCAGATCTCTAGATTTGTAGCGTTCAATAATGTATTTCGAAGAGACGAAAATCGATTCTGGACACTTGGGTGACGTCCAATTGTAAGCTATTATTGTATCCACTTATTCGAATCATCTAAGAATTTTCGCGGGAAATATTTGATCGAGTATAATAGTACACACTTGTACAGACGTTATAAATTAAAGCTAAGTGCGTTCTAACCTTTCATAGAAACTAACTAAGCGAGCTACAAATTATATTCTAGGATATACCAGACGAGTAATTTTCTAATAATTAGAATTAAAATATTTTTGGCAACACATGCGTAAACACACATTTCTGTTCACAGTGCTAAAGAAGATCCAAACAGAGAGTCGAAACATATAAATAGATTACATAAATTTGCTCGTGGCATACAAGACTTAGGACTTTAAAATGTATTTTTATTCTACTGCAAGCCATTGCATATGTTCAAGCTTTTACAGTATTCAAAACAAATAAATTAATTGCAAAATATGCTGGTCTTTTAGCGCAAGAATAAAAGGTTCATGCATTTCCAACCTGTTTGCTACAAATGTTCCAGGCAATAGCTGCGAGCAACGATCTAAACTTGAACCAACCATGAAGAGAGCAATGCGCTTCACGGACAGTTTTGGATCTGACGTGTGCCCAGGTTCTCCGTCATGTGTCTGACTAATTTACTGCTATTCAACACGGACGGATTTGTAAACAGGAGGCGGGAATCTCCACGAGGAAATGTCACTTCCATTCAGAAACATAATAAGTGAACCGAGCGTGCATGAAGTTTATTGTGTTTATTGCGTACAGCAAGACGTTACCAGATGGACAATTTCGCGAAAAGTGGGAAACAAAGTTCCTATCAACTATACAATTTTACACGCTATGTTGTAACAATTTTTTAAAATTAATCAAAATTAAGAAATAAGGAAAAATAAATAACTATCTTGTCAGAATACCTCTGTGCTACGAAATTTTGGTAAAGACTCTGGAGTTAAAAAAAATAATTAATGGGAATTTTTAATTCTGGAATCTTCAAGAGTTAAAGTTTAAATAGAAGTGAACAGATAAGTGAGTCTTCGTACAGAGAATGTTTACATAATATGTGACGATAAGTTGTCAACCATGACCTGAAAATATCGTGGAAATTGTTAATTCTACGTTCCGAGGCAACAATGACCATATTCGAGATGAAGACTACTGGACCTTAGAATTCAGGTTAACGTTTCTTTCAAAACTTTTAAGAGCAGTGTCGTTTTAACGTACACGCAGAGTGAAAGAAAGGACTTCTGGAGCATAGAATAACTTTATATCTACAGTGCATACATTTCCTTACCTGGCAACTGCTTCGCTGTACACGAATCCAGCAGTCGCTCTTCGAACAACCTCGAAACATAAATCAGAGCCATCCATACTGAAACAGAAACGAGACATTAACATACAATTTACAAGGTGTGACGATTTACATGTACATTGGAGCAGAAGATTCGCATAATGAAATACGTCCACAGACGCATCCAATGTTTTCTGCTTTCAAAAATACGACTACGTCGCGATGAAAAAATTATTTAACATAGAAATATGAAAATGAATAAGTTATTTGTCTTTAATGTAAAAGTAAGGATAAATGAGTTTTTTAATTCATTTTTTTGACCAAATTTCTGAACTCCTGTTTTGACTGCTATGTCCTGCTTGCCTATGTAACACTCTGTACTATAGCCTAATACTCCTGGGGGATACTGTCCCAGAGCATGTAATAAATGATCCACCAATCTATATGTATATCTATATTTCAGAGAGAGAGAGAGAGAGAGTATGTGGCTGCAGGTTGGCACGAAGAGTTGAGATATAGGATGACAGAGCAACCAACAGATATGACGAGGATAACGTCAATGGCCTTGAGTAACTAGTTGATCTTGACCCAACTATAGGATGCACCACGTGCGATTTTAGCAAAGACAACAAAGAAATCGAATGCAACTACTCCCTAACAATTTTATATTTATTTCAGTTAACGCTCAAAAATTGTTAACAATGATAGAATAAATAGAAATATAGAAAGACCTCAGTATTACAGATAAATATTGAATCCATTGCTTTAAAATTAGGCATGCACATTTAACGAGTATCGAAGAATATCAGAATGTTTCTTTACGTCAATATAATTTTTTAGAAAACACTTGTTAAATACATGCGCGTAAAAACAGACTAGTTTCATTGCGGAAGTCATAACTATTCAGTACTATTGTTTGATTTGAAAGTAACACAGAAAAGTTTGTTATGTTACGAGCCTGGTTATTCGCCGAACTAGGTTAATCGTACAGAATTTGAAGTTTTCTAAGCGACGTAATTTTAAAGTCAAAGCAGTGAAAATCATTCGAAATTTCAAGTTAAAAGCGTTATTGGTTTTTGAGATATCACTGGCGCAAACTGGGAAAATTTTGTTTTCCTGAGAAACGGTTTCAAACCCATCATTGTACTTTAACACGGAATTTTATTGGAGTATTCTTAAAGCTATAAATTGCAGAAAGAGATATCAATTCGTTTGTCTTTCCTGAAGAGGACAATAAGTGGCGTGCAATCCTACTGTCATACAAAGTCGAGCAAAAATCACTTTTAGAACAATAGAACCAACAAACCATTTGATTTTCTCAAAACAATAATCCGCCCTGAATAACTAGAAACGTCCTTTCAAACCGTAGGACAGTATGACGGGATATTACACGCTCCAAGTGATTATCATCTTTTTGTTATACTCCTATCTTTTGGAAGATCGGCTCTACGTGACGACGCAGTAATTTAAAGTGTCCAAGAGTGGATCCTCGTCTCGTTGAAAAATAGAATTCGCTACTCCACTAAGTTTCTAAAATGAAATATTCGATAAAAAGCAGTCTCATTTACATCCGGAAGGCCTGACATTTTTGCAAGTATAATAACACGAGGAGCTTGATTTATATAATCATCGATCGCATAATGTGGTCGATCGAATACCTCATAAAAATAAATTCCAGTGAAGTTCACTGAAGATATTTTACAGGATTTGTATACGATGTCTTCATATGAAATTTAGATCGAACTTTAATTCATGTTCCAAAAATTATATCATTTTTACTTTTTACGGATATTATTGTATATTTTTATTTACTCCATCATTGTTGAAAAGTTTCAAGCGTTAATTAAAATAAATGTAAAACTGTTGAGAGGTAGTTTCGTACAAATGTGTGATTGTGTAGAATGTAGATACTAAAAATACGTAATACGGTAATACATCGCAGGTTGCAAGTCGGTCGGGGTCGAAACCAATAAAAACATTTCAACTACCTGCTCCAGATTCTTTATCAAGTATTTTTTGCAATTGCGAAACGGGGTGCGGAAGATCCATGAGCAGCTGTAGAAAATTAAGGCTATACTGTTCACCAGTTTGCAATAAATCTTGCCTAAATCGTCCACCAGATGACGACAGTATACATTTATCCAATTCAAGTGAAAAGAATATAAGTGAACAAACTGGGGAAAAGTCTAAAAGTAGGCTCGTTTGATATTTTATCGCTTGACTGTAAAGTACTCTGACAAACGAAAGATTTTCGAAACTTTTATCTGTGGATTTAATCCTACATACAAAAGAAATCGCATGAAAAAATCGCATCCAATATTGAACCTCGATAATGGCGTGGAAAAGAGTCCATTAGTGTTATACTTAATAGTAATCCAGAAAGTCGCTAGGATAGTGAATTATACTTTTCAAACGATGCGAGAATCCATTAATTTAGATTACTACGACGTCACGTAGAGCTGATGTTTCAAAAAATAGATCACTCTGGCAAACAAAAATTAAACGATTCCAGCTCACTCTAAACTATAAATTATTGATTATATGGCGAAAGTATGTCATACCGTCTTTGTAGGAACCTAATAATTTTAGAGATTTTTACAGAAACTGATTTTAATCGCATCTTCTTTAATAAAAAAATCAATTATACAAACGTAATATTATTAAATCACTTTAAAAGGGTTATCATTAGCAGTCGAGCACTCTGTATAGATACTATTTTTCATTCACGTAATTTATGTATCGAATTGAGAACAATACGTGTACGTGTCGTCATTAAAGAAATAAATATTTTCCAATTCAACGACCCGAACGGATGACCAAATAACAAGCGACGATTGTAACGTGAATCATTGCTCCTGTGCGCTCAATGGACTATTTATAATTCATTCATTGCTAATTAAGTCGATTCATAACGACGTGAAATTTGTATTCATAAAGTGGTTATATACTCAAGGTGAACAATTCGTATCGCATAATTATATCTGATAGAGAAATCCATTTCGAATACATCACTCGACTCGTATTAAATATTGACTGAAATTCTTGCGATATAAACTTTCACACGTGGCATTTCGAAAAGCAGAAATTGTCGACGATAATTCTCCACCGGATGTTATTATTCAAGAATACTCTGTGCCTCCTGATTTAGATTTTGTATCCGTCAAAATGTACGATCGATTCAAGCTGTACCGCAGATTACTTCACAGACTCCAGACATCGATCTAGATACTCAAAAGCGAAAATGTTTTTCTAAAAATAGACGATACGTGTGTAAAATTACACATAGTAGATCAAATGTCCCGGTACACTACATTTTGGAATAAAATATGTATAAACATAAGTGCGAATACTTGCCTCGCACTAATTTAGAATAATTTATTTCTCAAGTCCTGGCAGCAAGAATTTTTTTTTAAATGTGAAAAATATTTATTCGGTAGAGAAAAATACTGACCACTTTGGAGTACTGTTATTACGGAGTAAAAAGGAAATAAAATATATTTCTAATAATATAATAATCATCGAAACAACGATTACAAAATTACATCCTATTTTTATTCGTATTTTGAGTTATGGTTTGTGTCACATATGTTATAATATGAATTTAACGTAGAAATAAAATGTATAAAAATTCTTAACATCTTAAGAAACGTTTGCCTGAAACGTTATCTGAATATTGGCATTTCTGTCTTTTTTCTGAATAGATGTATCGAAAGATAATTTAGTATGTCTGCTCTGACGTCTTTCAAGGAAAGATCAGCTGTCGAACTGTGTTTCCTTCTAGCCTTTATTCCTTTTTCAGTGCCAGGTATAGTTACACCACTGCTATTTCAGTACTTCGTAAGTTCTAAATGTCTTTTTCTTTAAAATACAAACTTGCTCGTAATGATGTTAAGAATTTTAATACGCGAAGCTTGCGCATATTTTTCAACCCTTTTGGATCCTATGGTACTACACGTGTACGCGATATTTTAAAGTTAATAATTTTGTTACGTACTTACGATATCACGCAATAATTTTTCTCAATATAGTTTATATCATTTTCGAATTCACTAAAGTGCTTGAAAAAGATTATCAGTCAACGAAATTAGATCGAATACCGTCCGAAAGAGTTGATATTATATCTTGATTTTTAGTTTCAGACAAGTTTCAATTCACTGCAAAGTTAAATAAAACAATTTGATGTCGCTATACTTACTATTCGAATACCATGTACAGCATACCCTCCGAACTGTAGGTCTCGAGCAACTCTACAATGTGGGGATGTTTCAACATATGGCATATTGTGGCCTCGCGCTTCAAATCTGCAGCAATCGTATAGTTACGAAACTTTATTTCTGTTGTAACTGTGAGTTGTACATTTTTAAATTGTTATGTGAAATTTAACAGTTATGTGAAAGTATGACACAAACGATAAAGCACCACGCAAACAATACAAATTAAAAATACTGAAAAGTAGATCAATTTTCAAGAAATAAATTAGCAATTTCTAACTAACAATTTTTTAATTTTGTCATAGTCAATGAGATCTATTGTGATTTAATAATAAATTATTATATTTCCAATTACTGAATTAATATATGCCAAGTAGAGTGGAATGAAATAATTTTACGTCAAAATGTTATCGAAACGATATTTAATAAAATATTTTTAATTTTATAACGGGTAAAAAATTAAATGGATAATATTTCAAAGGTACCGTATTTCATATTAAATGAAAGTTTTAGGACAATAATTGAAAAATTATCGCGAGTACGATAGAATATGCCTGAAAGGAAATCAGCAAATATGGAATAAGCATTAATCGAAAAATATTTCATTCGAATTTCGTCAAAGCAAGTCGTCTGAGGGATTAAATTTCATCAATTTTATGACGTACGAGTATCTCTTGAAATTACGTTCCGACTATGACGCATTTTCATAATATTATTAACCCTTAACGCGACGCATCTCCTTTTGATTTATTATTAGAAATATGCATCTCTTAGACACCTAGGTATGTAAAATACAATATTTATTATTAGACATGCAGAAATATACACTACACATAGTGTATGCCTATGAAGTTGTCTGACAATAAATGTTTTCAGTACAAGCAAATGGGATATTACTTTTCAAAAAATTAGACATATCACAGCTAACATTAAAACTCATACATCATCATTCCCTTTGTATACTTGTTTCTGAAATGCATACGATTCGTATACCGTTATCAGTTTAAATTTAAAATATAACAAAGTTTATAAAATACCAACGGAAAATTAATACATGCCATAATAATGCTATTGTACGTAGCAAAGTACTTGACACTAAAAATTATTCACCCATAAAGTTTGGGTTACCGTGTAATTTATTTATCCACGTTGCTCATTTATAAAACATCGAGTAAATTCATTTATATTGCGTTGCACATTTTAAATGCTTTAAATTGTAAAAGTTGAGTTTCAATAATTAAAATGCAAATTTAAATAAAACTCACATTTTTTATTTTTATTAACGAAATATTCACTCTTTTCATACGCTCCCAACTTTCAAGCAACTCTTGTTATAAATGAAATACATGCAACAATTAAACTCAATATTCTCAGGTAACCGTAGTAGTGATCTCTGTTACTTGAACATAAGAGGTGCACTAATCGATTATGCCAACCTCGAAGAAACTCCTGTAGGTATGTACACTAAACCCATCCACGTGTCCCAATTTCTACTATTAGTACGTTGACTATCCATACTTGGAATCGCGACTACGACTCAAACGTACAGAAAGACGATGAGATTTGCATAGCAATAAACGTTGCACTCCATTTTGTTACAAGGAAAGTTCTTCTAACGTGTCTAAATATTTTAGTTTTTAAAAATCTTTTAGACCACTGGTGTCGGTGATATTTATTCTGTATTGAACGGTCTCCTGAATCAAGACTGTCCTGACCCACAAGTGGGTCAGTGGATAATCAAAATGTTAACATTTACTCCCACCGTTAATTAATACAAACAAAATCTCATATTTCACTCATCCCCAAGTTCTTGTAATAACAACTCAGGACTTATCAATTTCTGGAACCTCCCTTGCTCCAGATTAAAATGATCGACATACGTTCGCAACAGCAAAATACTAATTCTGTAATATTATTTTAACTTGCATTGCAAATCTAAAGTTTTTATTCTGAAGAAGAGCATATAGACAATTAAAGTAAAATTATTACCTTAAATCTTTTATTTTGATTACTCTTATTAACGTAATATGCTTTTCTCCTTTACGTTTCTTCTTTTCAAAAATCTCTCATCATAAATAAAGTACGTGCAACAATTAAACCCGATATTCTCAGTTAATTATAGTAATAACGTGTTATTTGAACGGAAGAGGTGCAATCGATTATTTCAACCCCGAAGAAACTTCTGTGAAACACTAAACCCACCTACGTGCTCCAATTTCTACTAACACGTTGGCTGTTCGTACCTGGAATCAGGAATACTCAAAGGAACAAAAAGACCACGAGGTTTTCACAGTAATAAATAATCTACTATCTTTTCCAAGTACTATACTTAATTATTCTTGCACCGTGTACATTTTAGTTTAGCCAACGCGTTTACATCTGTTCCTGTCGCTAATTAATGCAAACAAAGTCTCGTACGTGGCTCTAATAACGACTCTAGGACTTCTCGATCCCTGGAACCTGTCGCGCGCCAGATTAAGATCATCGACATAGATTCGCGACAACGAAACCAATTCCTATTGAAGCGCACAATGAGCGGTTCGAAGTCATGTAAGTACGCGTACGTCGTAAAAGAGAATATGGAAACGTGGGACCAGGCACAGGGAATACGTTATGTTTCGAGCAGGCAGCGGAAATTAATGGCGGAACACACCGAGATGTAGGTACATTGGCGCATTCAGTATCCTCGGGGACTCACCGTTTGTACTTAGACCAGGACTGGAGGTGAACTTTGCAACGTCGACTATTTTTACGGCGAATGTCTGCCCCGTCTGCCGATGAATGCATTTCCGAACAACACTGAATGGTCCTCTGAAACAAACGGAAAAAATGGTCTCAGTGACAATAATCACGACGGTCGGTTCTGTTCGTATCATTCATCCCCAATTATGCCAGCCATAATCGCGATAGCTGGCTTAGCTGGAAAGCCAGAAACTGAGCTCTATTAAACCCGATAACGGGCTGGGTAATTCGTCGAACGTTGATCACGCGCGCATTCATCGAATTCGTGACAACCAGCAATGCAACAAATGATCTCTGCGGTGATCGAACGACCACACGTATCTCCTACTTGATCAGTCTAATTCGCATGACAGATGGAACATGAAAAATCGTATCAAAGATTGTTTCGTAGATATAGATACGAAGGATCTTGACCCTGGGGAGGCTTGTCAATAAACTCTGTCAGTAGGAGACGTTCAAGAGAAACCACCCTTACGATTGGTACGAGGGTCGTTCAATAAGTCCTTAGAAAATCCAAGACCTGGCGCTCGTATCATCGAAAATGGTTTGTTTTTAATAAGCATCAAGACTCACTAGACAGTTGTCAAAGTTATATCACCACATGGTTCAATTTTTATTGTCGATTGTAGCAAGAAACTTTCTCTTGCATCAAAACAATGCACGGGTGCACACCTGTGCAGTTTCGATGGCCAAAATCATGGAATTAAAGTTCGAATTACTACAATATCCACCGTATTTACCGGATTTGGTCTTCAGTAATTCTTTTTATTTCCAAACTTAAAAAAATGGCTCGGCGGACAACGGTTCACGTCGAACAAGGAGGTCACCGCCCAAACAGATGCCTATTTTGAGGACCCTTCGAAATCTTACTTTTCAGATGGCTTAAAAAAGTTGGAGAAACGTTTGGAAAAGTGTATAGAGCTAAAAGGAGATTATGTTGAAAAATAAAAAAAAATCTATCTAAAATAATTTGTTTTTCTATCTTTTTCTAAGGACTTATTGAACGACCCTCGTAATATAAGGCAAAAGAAATGTAAATATAGAATAAGGGCCGCGTTAAGTCCAAGTTTAGTTTGTGGTCAGTGGGCAAAAATGGCTACTAAACTACCTAACAGTTAGATATAAATTCGAACTTTGTCGCAAGAAACTTCACTTTGCAAACTCAGTTCTCTTCTATCAACTCATGAACTTGCTAAGCTGACAACTTTGATCTATCAGTTATTATTCAAAAGTGTTATTCATCGTCGTGCTTGTGTTCTATTTTAATCAGTCGATTCATAGAAATCCGTTACGCCGATTCAGTAATTAAAGGCCAAGATCATACTCTGTCCACTGAATACTTTGATACAGAGAGTAAATCGCATAACTTATATAATCTCTTGTTAGTAAAACAATTTCTTGTTAGTGAACAATTTGTCTCAATTTTTATCTGAACCGCTGATAATTAGTTTTAATTAGCAACATTCTGATATAGCGCACGGGTAAGTACAGCAAAAGGGTTGTCAGTGATACAATCAAGTCGAGAAGACGAACTCAAGGAAGGTCCTTCTAGGGAACTAATTGAATATACTCCCTCGCTTTGTAACACTTCCATTGTTGCACGGAAAATCTTACACGCCCAATGAAAAGTGAGAAATTTCCAGCAATAAGAGTCATATTTTGGGATCTTACCTTTTAAATAAGTTTTAAATAATCTTAAACTTATTCTAATTAATCTAGAAGGTGCCTTGACGAACTGAGTTTTCAGATTGGATACGACTGAAAGATAAGTACGTCTTCTTAGATTTTAGCACCGAAGAACATCTTTCAAAGAGAACGCTATCGATTCAGCACACTTGAGCAATGCCTCTTGTCAGCAAAGAAATCTAGAAACCATCCCTTTTCACCCAAAGAAACACCTGTTTGAGATTTACAACAGATCCACCTCCTTTGTCCAACAAACAGCCAATAGGAGAAAGACAATGCTAACGTTAAGAGCGCAGTCACAGTTGAGAGTTAGAACGCTTGCCAGGCACAGGTTTAACGCGTTGGATACTCGATCGTAGTTGTGTAAGTGCACAAGGTTTTAATATATAAAAGTCGTTAGTCATTGTATAAAATTCAAGTTACACTTTCTTTTCAAGTCTAAGATGACCAAAAAAATAATGATTAAGTTTCTCCTGTTTATTTAGTTATTATATTCGATCCTCTAAGGAGCCCTCTTCAAGTAACAACATCAATACTAATTTAACTTGGATGTACAGATCCGATGCAGTACATATCTTTGAAAGACATCGTTATATCATATCCCAATTCGCCTAGATCTTAGAATATTAATTCATTACAAGAACAACGGTACATCGTGATTAAGAACGACCACAATCCATCTGGGACTCTGTACTATGCCATACGCTATCTCTGCTTCTTGACCCCTAAGGATTCTAGACGTTTATAAGCATCTACTAGATCAGTGCATGCGGTGACCGCCTAAGGGCGTCCGAAGAAACATGCTTAACAAAAGTGATTATAGTGATTACAGAAACCACTTTCTAGACCCTATACCATTCTTAGAAAGAATAGAATACACTGTCAAAGTGGAATCACCTATTTCGATGTCACCCTATACATAGAAAGCGTTCAGGTAGTACGTCCTCTAATGCCTTTCAGCAACGGTGTTTGTTATACCACTTCAGTCTGTTAAAAACTTTATATGTTTACAATGTGTGGACATGTGCCTACAGGTACAATTATACTTATGGACGATAATGTAATCTTGATAACAGAGTAAAGTAAAGTCTAACATGTTTGTTTATGAAGGATGTCAGAATTGAAGATCAGAATCGATCAAATAAAATGAATAATGACGTAGCTCCTTGAACAATAGGCACTTCAAGATAATGTTCTAATCTAAAAAATTCGTACCTACGTATGTACAGGTGATCGAAAAATTCAATCAACAGCTGACGAGAGAAGACGATAAGCGAGCGGACCTAAAATATATGTTACGATAGCATCAACATTTTTGTTATTCATCTTCCGACGCCTTCTAAAGAGCAGAGATGGGCAAAATTTTTATTTTAAAAAAAGTTACAATTTGTCATTTAACCCGTCATCTAATATTTGAATAAAATGTTATCCATCACTGATACGGTAAGAGATTATTTATTTTCAAAAACAAATCATGATTTTACAAGTAGTTAAACACGTTACAAAAGAATCTTAAAGATTGTCTTGAGAGTTCATGCATACGTAAAGCCCTTGTACATCTCGAAGCTCTCACTCGTTTACCTTCTTCTCTCATCGTTGCTGAACGAATTATGGAAAACGACGTCTTCTGTCTTTTTCGATGTTAAAAGCTCTTCTGTGAGACAATCTATAACCTCGAGAGGAGTCAGTAAGGCGGCTTTCTCGCCAACATGGCCTACTTCGTACGACAAATTATCGACATCTCGTTGTTTTATACCCTTAACAGCAGTAAATTGACGAAGAACACCCTGGCATCCGAAATCGAAGATAGTAATATTGTAACTTTTCTAGAATATAATCAATTTTTATTGCACATCGTCCTCGATGTCGTACAACTTTTGTTTGAAACATTCTTCCACAGAACAAACAGTTCACGAGTTATTTAGAGACCACAAGTTAGGTGAATCACCCAGTATGCCACCCTCGATATCACGTAACTTTTGTTTAATTAATGTTTTTACATTACAAGCTTACGAGCAATTAAATATCGTCTACATAAACGAATCGCTCTATAGATATAACACTGCTATATATCAGATTACCGGTGGCACCAGAAACTGCTATATTTGACCTTATTCTAGCCTATAAATGAAACCTAAGACTGTAGTAATTGAACTCCGCACATTTATTGATACAAGATATATGTTCATTGTGAACAGATTGAAAGTTATTAAAACGTCTTTCTATTTTCAACGTACCATTTGATGTAGCATTCTATCTTTGATCAAGTTATAATTGAAATTTCATGAAAACTAAAAATAAATCTATGTTATCTTCACAGAGGTCTGAATTTGGTTTAAGTCATGTCTCAATTTCAGAAAATAAATTTTATCTATTCGCTTTATCATTCTTGATTTCTGGCTCATATATCCGTACTGCCGAAGTGATGTATGTATATTCACAAAGGCTATTTCTTCATTTTGCGCAGATGAAGACTGGCTTTGCAGTCGAAATGTACACCTAAATCAATTAGGATGTTAAAATGTAACCAAACTAAGAGCCAACTGGAATTTCCATTACCACCGTGAATTAAGTGGTTAATGTAAAAGTCCGAGCACACGACCTAAATAATTTTTTAAAACTCTGTCGGATATTTCGTGGAAAATTCATTGACACCTTTTTAATATCTCAGATTTCATACTGTTATATCTAACTCGAAGGATTAGATTTCTGTAGTTTGACGCCTGAGGGTTTCGAGAGTATAGATAGGATCGGGTTCAATTGGTTTGGTCTCGAAACTTCGAATCCTGTAGTACCCGCATAAGTGTATATTCCTAAGTATGTACTCTAATGCCAGACAGAATCAAATGTCTTAAAGACTGGAATCCTAAAATATTATCGTACGTATAGGTATCTTATTTTAACAAAAGTTTACCGCGACTACCGTCAAGAATGTTATTAATAAAGAATGAAACATTTTTCCGGGCGTTGCCTGATCAGGAAACCGAAACCGCCCTAAAATTATTGGTTTTTATTGTCTGTGACCTACATGCAAAGTTCTTAAAGATCGTCCTGGACGGGAAACTACAAGTTTCAAGTAGTACTAAGTCTTTTAAAAGCAGAAAGATTTTATCGCTTGGACCGTACGATCAACTACTGTAGCGACTAAAGCTCTTTCGACGTTTCTTGTACTCGTATTCCGGTGGACGCTTATTGTGATTTCAACGTCCATACGGATATTGGAACTTTTTATCTACACAATCCTTTTATCTATCGTAACCATGTGTCTCTGGTAACTGTTTCCTTCTTGTTATATTTTCATTGTTAAATAATAACTAAATAATAACTTTACAAGAACCGACAGAAGTGCCTCTTTTGTAAGAAGTTCGCTGGCCCGAGAAATATCGCGTATTCCACTGTTCAGTTTCCTACGATGCGAAGGAAATCGAAATCACGAAGGTGTAAGAAGAACTTTCGTACGAGTGTTGCTAAGGCGAATGCGAACTTTCGTGAAAAACTTCGACGCGGTCGTCCGACGAAACGGATCGGTTCCGTTTCTAATTTTAATGTTTAACGCACGATAGTACCTTCTACACGTTTTTACGATTCAAGCTTATTCCAGTTCACTTCAGTTGTAAGTATAGATGCAACCTAGAAAAGAACTTTCTCTGTGACAATATTGAAAATTTCGGAAACTAGTTCAACTTGAAAAATGGAGACAATCGGAATTTACGTAATTTTCTTCGAACTGGAGCATCGATTTCCATTTACAAATCAAATATACAGTATTAGGTATGGAAAATATTTCGGAAAATTCTGAACTAGAGACTCTAGAGCATAACATAACGTTCACACAGAATAAGAAAGGCGATAGCTGTAATAAGAACGATGGACCTGATGTAATTAGGTAGCATGCATTTACTTGTGAAGGCGGAAACAGCACTCGGTGTCAAAGTGCATCGTTAAAGTCGCTCTCCATCGACATTAATGTTCTACCTCTATAGTTTAGTTGTTTCCACATTATTGGACGCATATAGACGTGACGGGCTCGCTGTTCGCGAACAGGAAACGGGAGGATAGGAAATTGAACATGATAAATGGAATTATTAGAGAAACTCAGGAATAAACAACACTTTCAATACACATCACAGGATTTCGGGGTTCGTTTAAACCAGTAATAAGCTATTGATGTATTTCATAAACACTTCTACAACCTACTGATTTACTGTTGCTGATGTGCGTGAAATGAGTTCTCAGCCAACTAACAAACGTGATTGTTGAAACTGATAGTTTCAGTGTTTGACGAAACGTTGAGATGAATTCAAACACACGTATTACGTTTGTATTACGAGAGAAAAATTAGGGCAAAGGAATATTTTTCTTCTTATAAATTAACATCGTGCCCCGTTTCTCTGTTTGACTATCCGGTGTCTTGAATATCATGTACAAACAAAAGAAGTTAGATCACTGCGCAAGTTATTCCAAAAATTACGAGAAACCGCTCGGTCACATCGGTTTGGCGAGCATCGGTTGGAAAGTTTCCTGAGTTCTTACTCTCTCCAGTCACGTTTAAAGGAAAACTTTTCCGTGGAAATACGGAGAAAAAACAAAGATTCATGACAAAAAATAAAAGCGGACCCAACTCGGGTCCATTAAGTAAATTACGAAAACCGTATTTGGCGGCTTGTGTACCAGTATTGCTCAACAGAACTCTCGAGCGTTCCTCAAGTACCTTGCTATATTTATTTCACCTATTATACATCGGGGATATTTTCCTGAGAAAGTTACTTGACATTTTCCAACCGTACCGAAGTCTTTAGAAACACATTCATAAACCGTGGATAAATATGTTCAATTTGAACCTTTTAATTCTACTGGCAACGATTTAAAAAGTTCACTTGAGAAATAAATTTTAATAAATCACGAATGTTTAGAGAAGGATAATGTCCCAGTCCAAGACCTCAAGAATTTTAATTCTACCTTAGTTCATGATATTACCACTGTTACAATTCGCTGAAAATTGCCATGTTTAGTATACACGGACGGACAGAATTTATTCTTATCCTAAACGCATAGATTGGCACGCTTCAGTGTCAGGTCGAAGTAGACATACATATAATCAAGAATATTGTAGCGAGAAAGTTTGATCCGCTCAAACTCAGACGTGACACTAAAATCGACTCCATGAAATCAAGTTACCCTTCCTGGCATCAAAGACGATCTTCCCAGACGTGAACCGACGCCCCATTGTTTCCAAGATGGAGTTACATTGAACAAACTTTAAACGTTGAACTTCGTGCATCTGGAGCTCGTGTTCTCTTTGTACACAAATAAGGAAAATACCGGTCCAATTTCTGAACAAATTTTGAACGAACGTACGCGTAAACATAAACACAATGTATGTTTATGATAAAGACGTTCCAATAGTGCGATAGACTTTCGATTATCTAGTCACGCTTTAATCGATCACATTTTTATTGAGATGAAACCAAAATAGGCAGACAAATTATTGGCATACTCTACGATCGTTCATTTTTAACCGACTTAATGGAAATACGTGTCGCAAAAGATGGGTGTACCCTTAGGATCAAAGATGACCCACGGTATAACGATTGAGCTAGACACTGTCGACTAACGACATTATAGATTATTTTATCACAATGTTTTCACTAGAAGTGGAAATGATCATTGGCTGTGAAGAAAATGATCATTGGCTGTTTTTCTCTTTTGTCTCGATTGCTGTTATCGCTAAGTATCTCCGTAAGATAAAATATATTGATATCATATTAAGGCGAAGCATATAAAACGCAAGAAATAATTCAGACAATTATAATGGTTCGCGTGTCAAGCTGGACAATAAATCATGTTTCCATCTTTATTCTTGCTCATCTGTCTTTTCCTACCGACAGTGTACTCCGGTAAATTTATTTTTAAAAACATACAGTGATCATGATAAATACTAATTGTGTTTCAATTCTTCAGCGTATTGTGCAGTATCCATACGATATCATGAAGATGGCGATTTAAAAGAACCGCAACCGCTGGTCTTGACAGAAAATGGGGAATCCTTTTTTTATCCTGACAAGAAACATGGAAGCTCCTTGGAACTCCCCAGTGGATCTGTTCGTTTGGCATGCCCTGGCAACGATAATTATATCCAAGTTGTACCCGACCGTAAAGAAGCTGTTGCTACTTGTATCAGTGACACAATCTTCAGCGTCAACAGGATTCCTCGTACTTTTTCATCATTGACCTGTCGAACTAATCTGCAAGTCACCGTCAGGAGTCTTCAGAAGCTTTGTCTGAACCAATATCGCTCTATGGAAATCGGTTTTCAATTGAATGACAGGTTCTTGCAGACAATAGAATTGTGTCGCAATGACAATACGTACGAGACTTATTACACAAAATTTAAGATGTCCAACAAACATGGCAATGTGCAGACTGGATATCCCAGGTAAGCTACGTGGCATCAATTAGTTGAATATTTATGTACAGAATTTTCAACGCCGTTCGCAAATAATTCTTACGAGAGCATAAGCGCGGAAGAATTTATGATTGCAAATTCATTAGTAATTGGCTTCAAACAATCCACGTAAACGGGGCAAGTTTCTTTGCAAAATAATACATCACATGGTGCAATCTAGTATGTTATTTCTATATAGATAGATGAATTGCTTCTGCGAAACATTGCCAATATTCTCCATATATGGAAAATACATCAGTATTAACATCACGTATATCGACACATATATCGATAAACGGATAGACCATTTTAGAGAGCTCACGAAAAGATCTTCTAAATAGTGTACTGGTAAACGTGCGCCGGTGTATTCTATTAGGGATGAAAGTTAGAAACACGGGGGAACTAACTTCGCGTAATAAAGTTTCCAATGTTTCGTTTAAAATGTATAAGTTTCAGGAAATTTTTTTAGGTCATGTGGTACACGGTAGAACTCTACACGACGGTTACGGTATGCAAGAGATAAAAGTATAATGCGGTAATGTAGTTTCGTTTAGAAAAAAAAACTAATAACTCCGAGAGATGGTTTTTCGTCTCAGTTATATGGTAAAAAGTTACGAGGATTTATACGGCGTTCAAAATTAAAAAAGAAATGTTTAAAGTAGATGTAAACATGGAAAAAGATTCCACTGGGTGGAGGAAGATTTGTCAAGATAAAGAATCAGAAATATTTTGTAAATAAGTATATGAATCGTTATTGCGACTGATATTGGATTTAGCGCTGTGAAATACTTATGGATAATTGAACAAGAAATGACGTTCATCGTGCACCGTTCTTTGAAATCGGTTAAATTGTGAAACCTCGCCCTATATACGTACGAACACGCCCAATTAAGGTGGATTCGATCTATCCGTCAGGCAACCGTCCGTCAAACATTCATCGAAATATTCTCCAATGGCTTTTGCACCGAGGTATTCACACTGTATTCCATCTAGCAATTCACTCTGAACAATTTTCTGATGAACGTATGCTCGGCAAAATGTATAAATTCGTCATTATATAATACTTTACAGAATTGGTATCTGAAATTTGTCTTGAAGGGAGTCACCCAACATGGTGACCGAAACGTTGATATTGATTAAACAAATCATATCGAATCTCCTTCGCTGGTTATTCGTCATTCCCAAGCGATATCACACGACTTACTAAAAAGATCATTTAAAGATTGTTACTGCTTTCTACTCTGTATCAATTCTAAGTAACTTTATTTCGAAAAGAGTCACAGCATACTGAAAGGGCGAGGTTCAAATAAATAATCAATGCATTGATCGAAACAGAAGTTAAAGTTATTCACATTTTACAAACAAAAAAAGTTTTCTTTGGCGCCTCTTTTCGATTTTAAGGCGCTCTACTCAGGAGTCACGCCCATTTCTTCGGAGCACAGTGTTATACGCGAAACATGTGTAACTACCTTGCTCGAATATCCCAAAGAAACCCGATAACGACACAATGTAAATCCTGCCGTGCTACATTAATTCTCATTTTAGGCCTAGAAATTGGAGAGACGCGAACTACTTCGCCGGACTGAATATGGAAAGGCTCTACAATTGGAGAGTTCAGATCGAAATAATCGGACGAATTCTACAGTCTGAGGAAATTGCGAAGAAGTATATCAACCAGGGTCAATTTCTTTCGCGCGGGCACATATCGGCCAAAAGTGACTTTATTTACGGTAGCCAACAGAACGCCACATTTTCATACCTAAACGCTGCGCCCCAATGGGCCAGCTTCAACGGTGGCAACTGGATGTATCTGGAAGTGGGCGTTCAGAACTTCACCAGACAGAGTTCTCGGGACATCGAAGTTTACACGGGAGTTCACGGACAAATGACAATGGCAGACAAAAATGGACAACAACAGACGATACAGTTGGCTGAGCCTGGCACGGAAAAGACTCTGACAGTCCCTAAATTCTTCTGGAAAGTCATTTATGACCCAGTGAGCAAAAAGGGTACTGCGTTCGTGGGACTGAATGATCCTTTCATACCATCGATCAGTGAGAGTATTTATCTGTGCAAAGACAGAATAGAATCCAAAATGGAGTGGATAAATTGGATGCCAACTAATATAAAAAAAGGTGTCTCGTACGTGTGCCCTATTGACAGCCTTCGGAGGAAAATCCCGACGATACCGCCGCTGAATGTAATAGGAGTTTTAATATCGCCTCCTATATAGAGACAATTGGAACACAAGCACTTGCCAAATCTAACTCTTGACACGGTTCTGGGATACTGCAATTTGATAGATACGATTTATGGGAAACAGAAACTATGTACATTGATGTACGCTGCCAATCGAATGTCATTGGGCAGTAACTACAAGTCTAAGAAAAACACTACCGTTGATGTTCCTATATTTCTACATTGTTTTATTTATATATATCTTACATCGACATACGCGACAGAAATACAGGCGAATTTAATTAAAAACTTTTGGAAAACGGTTCTGTTTATTAAAAAAAAGAATAAAGTATAATGTGCAAAGGTACTGTAACTAACGTTCTGACAGCAGCCACTCGCAATTCTGACGTTACCATAAGACAACTTAAACGAGAAAGTAAAACCAGCAACTTAAGCGTAATAAGAATTCCTCATCCGCATAAATCTCATTTTTTTCGTATTTCGTTTCACCAGGAGCTATGTACCTGAGATTTCAAACAATTTTGTAATTCTACCGCGCAGTATTCACCGACGTAAACCGCAACCACTGTTACACACTAGGAAGAAATTAAATTAAAGAATGTGTATTCGTTGAGTGTAGTTGATGAATGAAATCTATGTTAATGTGTTTAGTGAATCAAAAATAATCATCTAACTGTTCCTGGTTTTATTAATATTAATTCACGAGTTTATACACATATTTTTGAAAGAAATATAAAAGAATGATTTTTATCGTGAGGTCAGAAATAAATCAAGAATCGAGTTTGTCGTGAATAACCAACAACTACAGAGGATACGGAACAGACGATTAGATTCCATGCTGAGATTACACCGGAAGTGACTCATTACGCATCTCGGAGAATGTGTTATTTTTAAAGAAAATCATTTTACCTACTTATTACGCTAAACCAAATAATTTAATAATTTTCCAATAAGTAATGTCTTTAAACCCAAGGTGATTTTATGGACCTATCATAAATATAGCATATAATGGCGCAATACTAAAAGTATGTCTTTTCATTGAATAAAGTTGAAACGACATTTTTTTATAGAGAACAATTTAGTATACTGTTCGAGCGACCAAAAGAGTGGTGAATCATGGAAGATAAATCTAGGAAGTACAGTAAATGTGACAGTGTCAAACATGAGATATGGACACATACATTATCATGAACAAGAATAGGGTCCTTTGTATCGGTTAAGGCAATTTTCACTCAACTTCTGGGGAAAAATCCAAACCAATATCGGTATAATTTATCATTCGTCTCACTAAAGAAAACATCGGATAACATCAATTATAGGTAACTAGCTTGTTTGGGGTATAAAATTAATTTTGAATTAGTTCTTGAAAGTTCACTACTATTAAACTATCGAAACACTAAAAATCTAGGATATCTACTTAAGAAAATAAAAAGTATAAGTTATAGAGGAAAGGAGAAACAACATAAAAACATGCGTTTATTTGGTTTTGTAAGTCTTTGTTCGTTTGCCACCTTTACAAATGTGACCCTCAGTACATTATTCAAACGTTACAATAGTGAAACATCAAAACATAACAACAGAGCGAGTATCTACAAGCAGATTTTTTTCGACGTACTAAATAAATATTAAATGCGACTACTGTTGCAATAGTACTGCGTTCATTTGAACGTCTCTCCGAAATAAAACATGATCTCTAATGAGTTGTAAATAGATACAATGACATTTTCCCACCGTATCGTTGTATAGGCAACGACTAATTAGGATCAATGACACTTAACTCTACTTCTACGAATCATGTCTAACTTTATGTTATCTCCGTTAATAATTGGCTGAATGCCAAAGGGATGACACACGAAACAAACAGCACGTCTACTGCAACAGTAAATGAGACTGGAAAGTCGCAGAGAATGATACCAAAATAAAATATGTGATATTAATTGTATTAGTTTCTTGGTAATGAACCTTAACTCTAATTTTATTAGGATGTAACTATAAAGTCTGTGAGAAAATTTATATACTAACATTTTCTGTATTATTATGTTACAAAATATAGTTATTATTAAATGATAAATACTATGAAAGTTTATTTACAGACCCTACAGATTCTCCAATTTGGTATATAATTCAAATTTACATTTAGAGGATTAGAATTCATTTTCCGGCAGTTGTAAAGAGATAAACGAATTACCAAGAATTTATTTCAATTTTTTGTTTCGAAATTAGGAAGAACGTATATGTTCATGCTGTGCCGCACTCGAGTATAAAAACTTTGGTAGTATTAATACGATAAAACATTATCTCCATTATCTCCAACGGGTCTGCAACGGACGATTGTCCAGAATCAAGGTCAAGGACAAATTGCATCTGCAAGAATTTACTCTGACTTTTCAGAAAACATAGTCGTAGCATACACGACCTTCCACGAGTGATTTACGAGGAGGATGAAAAGTAAGACAAGCATCCTAAAAGAGGTGTAGACCAACTTTTCCATCCCACCTCCTACATACGTGCCAGCATTAAGAGCTGTGCAATGGTATTTGGCAAGTTTTGTACAGATCTCCCGCGTTCGTTACATGAAAGTACAGAAAACCGTATGCAAAGCTGCAACACTTTTTCGATTTTCAAAATGAATGTACTTCCCCACTTTTTTTTTCTAACGACGCATTACTTAGTAAATCAGACTCTTACTTAATAGTCCTTTTCAATTCGTATGCATTCTTTTGATGAAAGAGGGATTAGTGTGTATGCGTGACTCGATGTCTTTATGTACAATTTAATCCTATTTAACTTTAATCCCACAAAGACGTAGGATTTGGAGCACATACCAAGTTTGAATAACTGTAGGAGTCTTTAAGTTTATATAGTAATGACATTCTATGTACATACTTTATAATACATAAAATGTCAAACGTATACAAATTTACTTACAGACTCTATAGTTAATCTTGGTATTTAATATAGTTCTTTAACAGGAATCAGTCAGTAGATAAGCTTTAATAGATAAGCCGAAAACCGTAAAAATATCTGGCACGAGAATTTACTCCATTTGATACGGTTGGCATTAAATATAATTTATTTCATACCTGTCTGATAACTAACCTTCCCAACCGTTTCTAACGTGGAGTCAGAACTCCAGACTATCTGTACTATGTAAACAAATGCTTTACATGTTCGAATCAATATTTTACTGTCAATGGAGTGAGAGAAAATGTCAATGAGATGTGACAGTTTATTTGTTGCCCATCGGACACATTTAAGAACTGGAAAAATGTTTGCCTTTTAATAAAAGTATCGTGTCATGGTAGTAGATAGAATTTATCAAACTCAAAAAATGGAAAAAATTTGTTCGAACGGCACGCAGAGATCAGCTTTCTTACAGTATAGACTTGCACCTTTTCCCCTACTTTTGTATTGTTACCCATTCGCCCCTTTTGAGTCAACATGTATACGTCATCGTTCGTACACGCGGTGCATGCATCGCGCGCGCGCGCACGAACCACGTCTATACGCCTAAGCTGAGCACGCACGATGTACGTGCAATGTATACACATACTCGAAACAGAGGATGGGCCATGCATAAAATGCGTCTGTCAAAGCACGTTCTTTCGCTACATCGAACAGTTTCTTATAAACCTGTCGTCTTTTCGTCTTTTCTAGCATTTTGACACTATCCCTCTCTGTCTCGCCCCTGACTCACACTAATGCAACGCAGCTGTCTCGTTCTTTCTCATGGTTTTATTACTCACTTGCCGATAATCTCGCAGAGCTCGTAAACCTCGTCGAAGAGAACCTCGTCGTCCGCCATAGTGGCGACGAGGAGGTCGAGGAAGTCGACCGAACGAGGAGGCTGTACGCGCCAAAAGGCGCGTCAAAGCTATAGGAATTCGTAATAATTCGGAAGGCGTGCTGATACGCGCCTCTCTCCTCTCGTAGTCTGGGCTGACGTCGTCGTGTTTCGTGTCGTGCCGTGTGGAATATGCGGCGGCGTGAACGCAGCCACGTATCGCGGATTCACGGCCGCCTCGGTTCTCCCACTCTTCTCTCCTCTATCTCTTTCTTGCCCCAGCAGCGACGAATTTGTTTTCCTCTACGCACACGTTACGCACATACACACATTCTATAGGCACACAGTCGTGGATAATACACCCGTGTAGCACGCCCGACTGACGTCGCACTGGCACTCGATCGGTAGACACGAGTTTGCAACCGTACAACTGAGCCTACGTTGGCGGACCGAATGTAAAACTTTATGCGAGGCAATGGTGCCTAATACACACAATCGACACCGCCTTCAAACCCTGGCTTGCTCTCGCCGGCAAAGTCAGCGCACGCAACTGACGAGAATACGCTGTACGTAGTACGGTCGTTTACACAATCGTACTATGCTCGAGCACGAAGAAAACCGGATCGGGCCGAATCGGTTGCCTCGTCGGAACAGTCAGCCGTACGATTGACAAGGACCGACCAGCAAGAGCGGCCAGACGGACACCAATGCCACTGCACACGCTTTCCCCGTCTGTCAAAGGCTGGAGAAGTAGATTCACTCGCTCCGAAGCAAGACTGGTTGCATAAAACGCGGCGAGCGACTGCGCCGACTGACTAACAGCTTCTCCTCTGACCCCTCTGACTAACCGTTCAGCATGGTGGGGCGGGCGTGGCGCCGCTTCGCGTGCAACCTTTGGCGGTTTAGTGCACTATGTCCTTTGCCTTGTCTCTTCGATCACAATATTTGTCAAGCACATGTAGCCCTACCATCAAACGCACTGTTAGGGCTCGTCTGCCATTTTAAACACCGATATCCACGATTACTCCGATGGTAAGTAAAGTACATTGAGAAAATTTAGAAGATTGTTTTGGAAACATATAATCAATGCGCGACAGAAGTCATATAAACACAACACTGCGTAACAATTTAAATCAGATTACGAGAATGTCCTAAAGGACATTATGTAAATATATCAGCTGTTGGTACAGAAACATACAATTTTATTTCTATACGAAAAATATGAAATTGTGATCGTTAAACAAATCAAATGAAATACTTTCAACTTTATACGATACATTCAACGAGGAATTTTATTTATTTGTATCGCAAACTAACTATTACTTGTGCATACATATATTCGTATTACCGTAAATGTGATAATTGTCCAAGAGTTTCGTCTAAATCTTCCCTCAAGCCAAAAACTGCTAACATTAGAATTGCTTTATTACGACCCCAAGCTTCACGAACTGCAAAAGTATCAACTGCTACAAACTCCAGTTCTTCTTTGAGATACTTCAAATGTTTATGATCATATCCCTTCAAAATTACTATTTTTTTTCTGTTTATGAAATATTAAACAAAGGTTGAACATTGTAGTCCAATTGCGAGTACACGAGAAAGTAGATATGACAAAAGTATTAATCTATGCGTTACCCATGTGTTATCCAATTGTCAATGTATTGACATTTTATTTGATCAGAGTCCAATTTACTGTACAGTGATATCAAACCATCTGCTATCTAAAATTAACTATTATTATTTTTTATATATAATTGTCGATAATTGTTTATTACTCCGATAAATTCTAAATTTAAATTCATATTGCTCTTACTGTTGCTATTGCTGTTCCCAGATCCATTCGTAGATCAGTATTAAGTATTGCATAAAACAAATATTGCAATGGGTTGACGTCGCGAACAATATTCGTATGAAATTTTCTATGTTTCGGATGAAATTGAGTTCTTTGTTTTTTATTTATTTTACCACCCTTTCTACAACTAAATTACATGGAATTTAAGTTTTTAATAGCGTAATTCCACATTCTAGCTTAGAATATGTACCAAGACTATTTAGAAAACCTTTTTTGATCAAATTAAAATCTACTCAAATTATACGAAATTAAACACGAACTTATTAGTTACTTCCATTGTACTAATAATAGATTTGCTTGTTTCTTTTCCATAATATCTTTGCGTGTTTTTGTTTTGATGTTTCATTGTAATAAGACTTCCTTGAAATTGAGAGATCTTAACCAAAATGCATTTTCTTTCTACATTTCAATGTTAGTTATCATCATTAGCTAAATAAGAGTAAAGTTTTAATATAAAATATAAAATATTTAGGATTTTGGCAATTGTCTTTCAAATACGCGTTACCATAGGAGTAAAATAAAAATTTCATACGTATTGTAATATATTTGAATATCATAAAAAACATAACTTTTTTATTTAAATTAATATGATTAGAATATTATTTTTCAGGGATATAATTCAATCAGTGAAAGTTGGCAAAAATATTTATCGAACCTGGATAATGCGCAGGGGTTGTCTGGCAGAAGGAAGATTACTGTCTCATCATCTGTCACACATTTTGTTGATTTTGTCAAAAACATTTTATTTTTAATATGGTTAGAATAAATTTTCCTTCGTATTAAATTATGTGCAATACATTGATCTATTGTGATACCAAATATTTAATAACGAAAAATATTTCATCCTCTGCTGTAGGCTAACTGAAGTTGTCTGCTAAAGAAAGATACTTTGAAACTCGCAAATAGAATATATCGATGTTTCGAATAATCGGCAATTTCAGGGTAACAGTGTAGTGTTTGGTATGTTTAGGTTAGACTAGCTATTTTCATAATTAAAAATATTTGCAGTAAATCTAAATGTCATGTGATTAATACGAGATTTTTCGATGTTGATAGCGATTAATATTCGAATGCGACTTTGCTGAACAGAACTAAATTTTGTGTGGGAAAACAGTGTATGTCGAGAAGTGAAGATTGGCAAAATATCCACCAACTGTGTTGTCAAATGGTTTTTATACGATTTTGATAAGAAAAGACGAAAAACAATTTACGTTCCGAGAAGACCAACGAGTCATTTTATATAGCGAAAATGGCAGCAAATGAACCAGGTGTTTCATTATTTTCTAGAGAAGATAATAACTGGAGAAAAGATTTAATTTTGCAACTTCAAGAGAGAAACAGAAGACAAACATATTGTTTTGCAGATCTCATAAGTTTACGTAAGATATTGTACTTTATATTTCTCAATCTAATTGATTTTATGTATTTAAGTAACCTGAATTCAATCTAATACTAATATTGAAAATATATTTAACATTTCATTGTAATTATTAAATGAAGTAAAGCAAAGCCAACAAAATGTAATACATAGCTAGAAATATATTTTGTTGTTCTTAATTTATAGATAATGGATTATTCGATAGGGCAAACACATTACGAGGGGAAAATATTCAATTAACTATAGCAATTGAAACCCTTCGTCGGACAACATCTGGTGGTGCATCTGTACCAGGTGCAACTAGTGATATCGAAGCTCGTCTTTTAAAACAAGCAGAGGAATTAGCAACATTACATAAAAGGAAGGGAGAACATACACAGCAGATAGTAGATCTTAATAATAAAGTACAAGAAATGACAAAGGAAATTCAAATCAAGGATGCCAGGTATTTATCATCTTCATTTAAGAAAAATATTTTTAATACGTTTATACAAAATGTCAATAACCAATAGTATTATAATAATGAAATTTTTAGTCTTGCTGAGTGTATGGAGATCAATACCAATTTACGTTTAGAAGTAACTAATTGCCTTGCTAGAGAAAAGGAGCTGGAAGGCATTAATCAAATGCTGAAAGATGAACATCAAGCCTTACAACTTGCTTTCACATCTTTAGAAGAAAAGCTTAGAAAAATGCAGGTATTTATTGAACAACAGTATACATATGGAGATATTCTTTATTATTATAATACCATGCAAAATATTACAACTTGGATTACCTTTATAAAAATTAATAAATCACGTTTGCTTTCAGGACGAAAACCGTCAATTAATAGAACGCTTCATTAAATATAAAACTCGAGATGCTGAGAAAGTGAACATAGAAAATGATAACTTTTTGAAGTGAGTATATGTATTTAGTTTTGCTATTAGCTTTTTACTAATATTAATTTTCTTTCTTCTTTCTATTAACTGTTCGTCGATATAAAACTAATTATGTTTTATATCATAGTTGTAAGTAATATTTTGATCTTTTTTTTATATAGTACAAATTTTTATATTTTTATACGTAGCATATTGTAATTATAACATGTTTCTTAAATAGATCATTTTTACCTGTTTCTTCTGCTATGTATATACATTAGAAGGGTGTCTTTGCAGTGGGCTTCTGTATTTTTCTGGTTTATTGTTTCTTGTGTCTGTGCCTTTCAAACTAGTTCCTGCATCTTTAGGTGTTTCTTTTAAATCTTAATTCATCATTTTCGTTGACACGTATTAAAATGTTTCATGAATTATATACAGAACAATGAATTTTTAATATACATAACACGTACATATTATACATTTTAAGTTATTTGAAAGGTCTTTAGATTGAAGTGTAGTGTTTTTGAAGTAGGATTTTCAACTTTTATGTGGGCAATGTTCCGACTGTCTATAATCTACAGTTGTGGTAAACCTTTTTACAAGGTTAGATTTTATAGAAACATTGAAGTTATTGATATTTAAACAAAGATGAGATATATCTGTGTTACTATAGTATTATTGACAAAATTCATTCTCAAAATTCATATGACATTGTAAAAAATCACTTTAAAGAATTATTTTTAACACACTAACTACCACGACAATTCCTAGCGACCGGCACCAGACATTTTCACGACCGTTTGCGCTGTGTCGGTCCCCGCGAACCGGTAGTTGAATTTTGATTTATTAATTAAAGGTAATAAAGATATTAAATAGAAAATATAATATTTTATTTATAACTAATGTAATTTATTAAAGCAATTTAAACAAAGATTTGGTTTACAAAAGGTACTATATATTTTGTTAAAATCTGCTCATTGTCGAGTGGCAGAAACGGAAGTCAAAGGAGTCAAACAAAAATTGCGTGGTAGTTAACGTGTTAAAGAACGAAAGACAGGTATGAATTGTTATTTATCATATTATTGGTGTTTTAAAAGAAATAATTAAGCATTTATTTATATCAATGAACATAAGGTGAATGTGTATGTTATTAAGGTATAAAAAACATTCTATAATGAATGAATGTAGTATTTACTTGAAATTCATTGAATTTGTGCTAAACAGAATTAGCCATTTTGTATTTGTTTTGTGATTTTTGAGATGCATTTCGAATTTAACCCATCGATTTTTCTTAATGAAACCATTTCGCGATTTAAATAACTGCGATAGTAGTAGTTATTTACATTATTCAGTATATTATTATAAAACTAGTAATGAAATATTTTAATAGTATTTGATAACGATAAATCAAAATTCAGTGTTACCTTAAATTATAAATCAGTAATTAAGTACAGTTAATAATACACTGAAATTAAATTATAAGCATTGTACAAAATACTATCCTTTAAAACTAAAATTAAGTATAATCTTACACATATTATTACTTCGCATTACAATTTACCACGCGAAGAATAAACTATCAATAAGGGAAATATTCTGATAATTTAGGAAACTTAGTTTACACAATAATTGTTTCTTTTTTAAATTTTGCTAGTTTATAAAATAATACGATACAAGTGTCAGACAATTTGGTTTTGGTACAATTTTTAGTTCTTTAATTCGTAAAAATTAATGAACCGTTTGAAGAACAATCGTTTTGTGCATATAATTGCATGAGACGTTTACTTTTTTAGTCACAGATGAAAACTGTCTTCTAAAATGCCTTCTGTCGATATTCTCTTAAAATACGATAATTGTCAGTCTCAGGCGTCTTCACGCTCTCGTCAGTAAATCCGAAGACCGATTTTCATATGTTTATACTTCACATCCCCTTTATCATCAACTTCGTTATTCCATTCTAGTACATGATAGATTAATATATTATAGGGACAAGTTTGAAGCTGAGTCACTTCACATTTCATGTCGTAAACAATTTATTTTTTAAACGAATTAATTTTGTGTGGCCATATAAAGTTTAATGCTCGATAGAAATCATCGGGGTCAACGTACATCAGCAATTTGAACATTTGTAAACAGTCGTTAATTCTGTTCGTGAAACGTTAAGCTTTCCGCAGAGGGACATGAATTTCTGTCACTGTAGAGTTTTCTACGCTAGCACATCACACTGCTTGACATTTTCGTTTCAGCGTGACTTTTTCCAGTCCGACAGCCTTTTTGATGCATACCATTTCAAAATTCGGGTAAGTCCAAGCAAGCGATGTGACAGAAATTATGCTTAACGCGCTATCTTGCTGCTTTGAGCCGTTTAGGAAGTTGATCGCATCAAACGATCGCATACGTGTTCACACATTTCGTTTGGCCACGTTCGATGCACATAAACGTTGTCACATGTATCGTTCCCTAACGGATTAATTCATAGCATGTCTAAATATATTCTCTGAACCAGTAAACCTAAAAAGCTTGGAGGGCAATTGTGCTTAGTTATTAAACAAATCAGTTATTGGAAATAATTCCCGATTAAATATACAACAATATTGAATAGTTGAATAAATACGACTAATGGAACCTAATGTTAACATTAACGAGTAACAACAACGAAAAGTTAGTTTCACTAATTCTTTTATTCTGCATGAGGTTTGACGATTGGATGATTCGTCCAATGACGAAAGGTGTTTTTCGACGTTTGTTTGGAGTATCTGTAGGCAACGTTATTTCTTTCTTTCAACGATTCCTCCATACTTACCAACTCCGGGGATGTTTGTTCTTTTTTTTTTCAGGATGAGGCATGCAAGGATGCAAAAGGAGTTGGAGGATGCGGCTCGTGACACACGGCCTGTTAGTCCGGATCGATCGAGTTTAAAAGAAGGAATCACTGGTCTTCCTACCGCAGTTCCGACAAAAGTGTCCGTCACGTTTGTACGTTGACAAAAATTTAATTTATGAAATACTTCACATCATGTTATCGTTGTGGGAATTTTACTACAAATGTTTATTAATTCGTTGTAACATGAAACTGCATGTTTTGTATAATGGATTAAGAAACTGTTAAACGAAAACGTGATGCGTGATTACTGAGAACTTGTATCGCGAATAATTATTGGGTGACTTTACACGAATATTTCTTTAGTTTTACGCTAGTGTTGTTAGTTTTATAGAGTAATTTTGGGTGCCAGCTCCAGAGTTTGTTAGAGGTTCGGGAGAGAATTTCAATTATGAGGAGCAGTATAATTACGTAATAAATCTAATTTATACGAGAGGTTTTGAGTAGGATGACTACAGAATTCTCAATATGAGTTTCCTTTTATACATGCAAAGATCTGTACGAAGAAACCCGTTGTTTCTATAAGTTACAGTCAACTAATCTTTTTCCACAGGATAGTTCATTCAACAAAATTATTTATTTTCATTAGTGAACACTAAATATAGTATTTATTTTATATCATTTCTCGTAATTTGAAATGTATTTCTGTTGAAATTATTTGAATTATTCGCGGAATTTTATTATCATACTGATAATACGATATCGTGTAATTATCGAGATAAATATATTAATCGTGTTATATGGATATTAATTTCTCTATACAGACTGTTTTTCCAGAAACGAGTCACGTAATTGTTTCCTGTATTTTTTGACAATACAAAGAATTCTTTCAGATTAATTTTAAAAATTAATTCCTTTCTAAATGAGCAACAAAAGTGGTTCGATATATGCCTGAGTTAAAAGACTAGGACGGCTGATGTAATATTTATTTTATTGAAGTACAGGGTACTAAAAGTATATATAAAGTTTGTATATAATAATATATATAATATAACTGAAATATATATGTCTTTATCGAGCAGGTTTTTCGTCGGCATTTGACAGTTTTCTACAATTAGCAGCGTAGTATGTTAGCTAAGATTGTATTTGGTATATTAAAATATTTACATCAGCATAATGTCTTCTGGTTTAAGTTAGTATTTTATATTTATAATAATAGGCTATTTGATGGGAATACACATAATTATCGAGTGCTTCTTATTATTTTTTACGAATTTTACATATTTTTTACCTGTGCATGTTATTGGAATACTAGTATACGTGTTCATGTACTGGTCTGTGGTTCAGTAGCATCTGCAATGGTATAAAATCTACTTTCTGTTATGTTCTACTTGAGTATATGTAAGGACAGCATATTACTTGTAATATGCGGAATTTAATCTAGTATTAAAATGTTACACTGTTTAACTTAAGTATGTTTGTTCTGTGTTTATAAATATATCAATGTATTAATATATAAAAAGTTTAGAAACATGATTGAAATTTTCATAGTTGTATATTTATATATTTATATATTTTATAGGGACGTAGTGAATTCTTACATGCTCGTTCTTTTAGCACTGTTAGTAGTATTATTTATCAAGGTTTACATACGCACTATGGTTTATTAACAAATTGAATTTTGGTATTTATACGTTTTAAAAAACGAGAAAAGTTTTTAAAGTCAATTTATTTCACGTATAACAGAAACTGGTAAACAGAACTTCATTCGCATCATTAAAGTATTCTACGTAATATACATTACCATAATCAGGCTCAATATGTGTCATGCATGAAAACTGCAAATAGTATAAATTTATCATTACATTTGAAAGAATACTTTATCACGAACTACAATTACAACTGTGTACCAATCTTTTAAGTTCATGTTATCTGACCTATATGGCTGTTGCGATTAATTCGTAAAATCGCGGTTTTATATTCTCAAACTATAAATTAGAAACATGCTATTTGCAATAACATATTAATCATTTAAGAAGTAGATAACATAATGATGTAACGCTTGCAGACGCCTAATACCGCAAGCAACGTTATTTACGTTACGAATATTTGGGGACCGTATTTAAATTTTATTCGTTAGAAAAACGAATTATTATTTATATCGGTTTTAAAGTCACAAATGATACGAAACGTATTAATTACAAAGTTTCTTGTTGAATTATCTATTATTTAAAAATTTTAATCTAAATAAAACGAAACGCATAATCGTCATTCAACACGCTTGATATATTAATTATCGCTTCCTGCATGCACGGATTTTTCAAAATTCATACGTCAAGCGTTTCGTAACCCTTGCAGAACGCACACGACGGGGAGGTTTATGCCGTAAAATGGTCTCCCGTCGACAGGATCCTCGCCACCGGTGGAGCCGACAGGAAAGTGAAGCTTTGGAACATTACAAAAGGTGATTAATTTAAAGCAAAACCCGTATGATTAAAACGTTGGTATATGATTAAAATATTCGCCGCAATACGCGTACAATTAATCAACGATATCTCGAACGTTTCCTATTATACAACTATTGCATGCTAGTACCGAGATATCTCGACTCTGTAATCTGTTTACTGACATTATTGTTCGTATTCGTAACGATCTTCACTAGGATGCGTGCAATGTTACTCGATTTCCATTGTTTACGTTAAATTGTCCGTTTCTTACAGTTATCTCGTGTAAAACACACAACCCCGACACAAAAGGAAAAAGACTTGTCGCATTAAGCAAATGTAAAAGTTGTAAATGGGGGAATTGCTACAAACAGTAAATAGTCGGAAACGTATACACTGCCATATTTTAATCATTGGCTCTGATCATCCACTAATTTTTCCACTCTGATATTTATCGAAAATGATTAAATTGAAAATAATTTTCTCACGTTTAGTGCGACCGGGCCGGCTAATAAAGTGATACGAAAGTCACTTTGGAACTTCATTAAAACTTACCATAATGAAGTAATTAAAACTTTGTTGCCATCCTCCGTTCATGAATACAAATACGTGCTTCAACTAGTTCCATTTCGGGGAGAAAGAAAGAATGACACGATAAGGGTGGTTTGAGTAAATCAATTGCAGGCTATCGTAACAACTGGCCGATTCGGTGGCGGGTTATAAAATACGTTAAGAGGGTGATTACGAGAGCATTAACATTAAAGCTAGCTTTTATTGTCGTTGCATGCCTCGTTAATTTGAACGTTATTTAAAGCGGACAAATAATTTTCGTTCTTTTACTTTGTTCTTTGCTGATTGATATATGATTCTAGCAAATAAATTCCTTCATTATTGGTACTTAATGCCTTGCTATATGTACACGTTATCTTCACGCACTTCCGTTTGAATATTATCATAAATATGATTCAAAGAGGCAGATTTTATTTTAAATAGATTACCGTTTCAATAGGTTGCATATTTTATTTTAAATAAATTATGCCGTTTTGAATATATCGGGCATCGTGAACCAATAGAACTGTCTTTCGAACTTGCAAATATGAATAAATTTAATTCACCACTTTCATCTTTGTTGACCATCCCTTTGCACGAGTGGTCTCAAAGCTACACAAATTCTTGTGGTGCAAAGAGTTGACGAATCAACAGGTTACTTGGTGCAATCCGTACGTGGGTGTATAGACGAGCATAGAGGCGCCTATTAAAACCCTGCCTGCCGGTAGAAACATTTTCCCCACTATGGCGGCGCGATCGCACGTCCTATAACGTGCTCGAGTGTAATCCCCTCGCCACGTTGCAAATTGGATGAAACATCCGTCCTTATTGTACTGGTTATATCCGCTTAACCTGCCCTTCCACGGTTCTTCACACGTTCTACGATCTCCCACTTTCTCAATACTCCTCTGTACATTGTTTCTTCCCTTCTCTAAATTCTATTCGCAATTGAACCGCTTTATCTGTTCCTCGATATCGAATGACGTTCCTTACCGAGCTAAACGGAATATCCATTCATTTTTTAAATAAAATTGTAAACATCTACATTTGATTCGTTTTATCAAAATACCAAGGAAAAAACAGCGATGATAAATTTCAGGGTTTATAGTAAATAAGATTCTAGACACGAATATATATAAATGTTTTAGGATTGATGGAATTTTCTATTGTGAAGTTAAATTTGTTGTATCTGTTGCGTTTCCAGGTATTTCGGAAAGCAAAGGTATCCTCGTTGGAAGTAATGCCGGAGTGATGTCTATCGATTTCGATTCAACGGGAATGCTGATCCTTGGAGCGTCCAATGACTATGCCAGCCGGGTGTGGACCGTCAACGATCTTCGTCTAAAGGTAAGTGACGACGGCCTTTGTATTGCTTACTTTGAGAAGCAAGAATTACCCAATGTATTTTGTTTATTCACTGGTGTATGTAATTGATTGTACAGAATACGAAAATTAAAAATAGAATATTATTTTTATAGCAATATCTGCTACAAAAACTTTATATTACTTTTTGTTGTAAAAATACATTTATAATAATACAACATTTGTTTTGATTTTAACATTTTATGGACAAAAATCGGATGAACATTACAGTACACGATTTTAAGTGGGCGTCTACCGTATACAAAATTTTTGGAATATTTTCTTACATATTTATGACACAACAAGTGTATTTGCATTTGTACAATCGATTACGTGTTCAAATGAATAAATAATATATGTTAAACGATTCATGTATATTTTCATTGTTTATTATCTGTCATCGATAAGTATATGTGAATGAGAAAATTATCGATACGCTCGGTTGTTATTTGCGTAAAACTTTGTCATTTCTCATTCGAACAGAAGCATCGTCTGTTGTAAGGCATTTTATTAATGCATGACAAAAGAAAAGAAAATCAAATTTCGTTAACGAATAATTTTCACGTAGGAAGATTGGCGGTTAATAATATTTAAGGTATTCAAGTTAAGTATGGCAATTTGTATATCCCGTAAAACGTACGGGATGCCGTGCTGCTCTCCGAATATTAATGTTTATCGTTGGATGTAGATTCATTAAAAATCGGGATGTTATACGTAAGCGGTGTTCCTTGTTAGTGTACACCGCGAGCTATATCGTGTGGAAGGTGGAAAAATGCTTCAACCGAAGCAAGCTGGCGACCCAGGAAGTGCGGTAATGACGTAGCCCCATCTTCCCGTCATGAAAATATGATTGGCTCCGCGGATATGTCCTAGGAAGTGTATAAACAGATGCCTCGCAAAGCGCGCGTTAAATTACCGGGGCTGTTCCAGGACGAGACGATCTGTAAATCTAAGCACTAGAATACGAAATTTATCGTCACCTTCTTCTACGACCTATTACGTCGCGGTTCATGTAAATCTGCCAGATCGTAAAGCTAATGATGATTCGCAAAAAGCTTTCCGGCCGGATCGTTCCGTGAAATCACTCTTGGGGATCTTTACGTCACCTCTGGTCGCTAACGTCGCTCGATGCTTCCTAGTTTCGTAATCTTCGACGGAAGAATAATACTGTCTCCCTTCGCCGATGATATCGATATTCTCTCATCTAAAGTTTGCCCCAGTTTTGTTCTTCGCCGACTCTTGATATCGGGGAACGAGCGAAAAGTTTCGTGGTTGTCTTCCTCCCGGGCTTTGGTTTCCCTTTTCCCCTTTGTGTTTCTTTCGATAGACCCCGATTGAAAGCGGAAAAGTCATCGAAAGAATGATTCTTTTTTTTTTCTCTCGTGGACGAGGATGGAGGCTCCTTGCGCGTACGAATGAAGTTAAAGGCGCGCCCGTGAAGGTGTAATCACGGGATGATCGATTGCGTCTAGCCACGAACGTTACTCTTAGTCGTTACATTTACACCTCGTTATTCGGAAGAGATCAAACACGGGATCGAAACAGCGTGGCCGTGTAACGCGATAAAACAACCCTCGATGATTGTTCCGAAGCCTTCAAAGGGGCTGGGAATTGAAGAACAGAAAGAGCTTCAGCGCGAAGCCCCCGACGATAGCGCTTGCGATTTATACCGGACTTTGAAGTGCTTTTATCTTCCCTGCTCGTTAAAACGTTACATCGGGAATATTGCAGTCCAACTTTTACCGTGGGCGTACCCTCTATTTGCATTATACGCAACATCCTCCATAACCTGTGCAATTCAATTCGTAAAAATTCTTTTTACGCTCTGCTTCGCATGTTGAGTAGCGGAAAGCTGCTTTACTTCAATATAAGGCGACTTATTTTCATTTCCTGTCTAGTAAATATTTTTTACGTCGATATAAATTTTGTTTACATTGTAAACGCTATTTATAGGAAGGCGAATAGCAAAAGAACTTCAGTACTCTTGAAAATTTTTAAACCAGTTGAGACTGTAGAGTTTGAGATCCCCTTGAAGTTAGAAGCGCTTTAAAATGCAGAATATTTTAGAAGTGTAGAATCTTTTAAACGTTTCAAAAGTCTTGAAAATATGTAAACTACGGAGTAACTTAACGCCATTTGTGGGTATTGTTATGGCACTGAGGAGTTTGCTATTTATCCTATACAAGACAATATTGCAAATGTTGCTTATTTCTGTTCAACATTATAATAAAATACAAAGCATTTTAAAGGTATTTCATACGTTCTAAGTCTATTTTTCAAGGCATTCAAAATATTCAAAAATTTTCAAATACCCAAGAGTTTGTGAGACTTCCCGTTACAATAACAGTTTAGCGAAACGTTTTAAGTATTTTTGAGGCATCTTGAGTTCCGGTCCCTGTCCCGACGCGTCTAGAAATGGTTTGAATCCCATCAGAAAGGGTACGCAGATTAGAGGATAGCGCTGTTTCACGATTCCACGACACACTTGATACTTCGCTTCTAACTTGCATTGTAAGTTGCTCGCCATACTGTAATATCACCATTTACAGCATCGCCGTTCGCCGATGGAATACAATGTGTAATATATCTGTACGAAAGCAGGCAGGAGTATTGTTCGCGTATCGTTGAACGTGTTAAACGCGATTATTCGTCGCCTACGGATCGCGGCGTGTTATGTACGAGCATTCCATCCGACCCAAGATCTTCCTATCGTCTCTCTTCCTGCCAACACTTTCTTCATCTTCTTTTGCTTTTCTTTTTTCATTTTTTGCACGTCGTTCCCCCCCTCACATTTTTTTTCGCTGTCTTGTTCTCGAAGCAACGCGCTTTGAGTATCCATTCGGCAGCGACAGTTTCATTCTGAAGATTGGCGGCCAATGGTGCGTAAACTTAGGAGAAAACACACGAACAGCGAGGGACTCGCGGCGTAACCAGGCTGTTCGCGTTGAAAGGTGCGAGAACTGACCGCCTGATGTTTATTCCTTGGTACTTCGTCTCAACGCCGTAACAACGTTTCCCAGACGTTATTCTTGGAACAGGAAACCTTCATCAATTTCTTCGTGTTCTGGGCCAGTTTCTCCTTGTAACTCTTCGAGAACCTGGGCACCCGGTCTGTCAACGCGATTCTCCCTCTATAAACAGCCCTCCTTTTATTCAGTTTTCCGTTGAATTAAAGGAAACATTTATTTCTCGATGTATTATCACGGAATGATATGCAGAAAGTGAATTTTCGAAGTGCTTATTGGAAACATTGAAAGTAAAAAATACACAAAGACTTTATACTTTGAGCAATATCTTTGTTTGCAGTCCCGGGATAGAAAATTGTTATCTTCCAGTAAAAAATTTGTTTATATTTTGTGTCTGACAGCTCCTTTCTATCGCTACAAGAACGTTCTTAAAAGAGCCTTTCAACGTCAAAGTTCGAACTCTCCGAACACGGGAATAATACTTTCTTGAGTTTCCTATTTGTAATTTTTTTCATCCAGCTTTTTTCAATATTTTCCCTTTCTTCGCTTCCACAACTTTCTTCTTTTCTTCCCTCTTGCTTTGAATTTCCGCTTTTTCTTTTTTCCACCTTTCCATTTCATCCTTCCTGTTTAACTTACCCTGAAAATATTTGCGATAAAATTTACCCGAGACGGTAATCGGCTTCTTTTCTTCCTCCACTTTACTTTTCTAGGCCTCTGTTGCACCCGAGCAAGAAAAGTATCTTTTAAAGGGGATGGGAATAAGGAGAAGAAATAAGATGAAAAAGATTGCAAGTATTGGTATATATCGTGTTTCAAATGCGAAGAGTTTAATATGAAACTGGGACTTTTATCTTATTTTAAAACTCTTAAATGTTTTAAAAATCTGCCTGACGTTTATTCTTCCTCGGTACTTCGTCTGTACGGCGTAACAACGTTTCCCAGACGTTATTCTTGGAACAGGAAGCCTTCATCAATTTCTGCACGTTCGGGGCCAGCTTCTCCGTGTAACTCCTCGAGAAGCTGTGTACCAGTTGTGTCAACGCGTCTTTCGTTCCATAAATCGTGTCTTCTTTTATTCAGTTTCCCGTTTCTCCGAATACAGAGAAATAAAGCGTTCCACGCCCTCGTCGATTATTCCGGATCCATTGTTCACTAAAGCAGCTGGCCGTAATTACAGAATTTCAGTATTTTTGTTAGGACGGAATTATCCTTTAGGAAGCAGAATCGTTCGCGAATAGACTTTTATTCAAGCAGGTATAATAAACGCGGTAGAATTCACGAATAAAGTTTTTACTTTAATCATAGGAGTACCTTTATTTTTCCCTCTGTCTGCGGAAGTTTTTTCCCCTCTCCCTTCCCTTCGATGAAAGGAAGGAAAAGGAGGAAGGGTCTTCCTAGAGACTCGGTAGAATTGAAAGCCATGGGTTATCATCTGTTTCTCTTTCCTCTCTCAATTCTTTCCTTCGTGGCTGTTCGTATGACTTTCTTCGATTTTTTTTCTTCATCTTTATCCTTCTTTCTCGCTACTGATCTAGATTCCTAAATTTTATATTTCTTGCCCGACCCTTGTTTGTCACCCTCTTGGCGGGGAAACGATGCGTTAAACGAATATCGATGGTATTGGTGGGTACCTGGCCAGGGCGATAATGGACTCAATTTCGCGGCAGTAGGGCGCCAGTCGTTTGGATTTCTCACATCTCGACACTCCATCGATTCTTCGGCGAAGCCCTTAGTGATTTCCTGGTCGTCTAGCGTTGTGAAATCGTCATATCTTTTGCTACCGGTTCGACCTTTCAATAGTGGTTACGAGCACTCGCATTTCTTAGCATGTTCCGCGTCTGGTTCTTATTGTATGTTATTGTGAAGCAACATTTATATTTTCTTTAACCCTGATTTGATCGATCGAACGAAAACTTCTATCTTCATTTTTTACGAAATATTTGAAAATAATAACGTCTTTACTATTTCTTGATACAGTGCCAGATATTTATTTTACTTTCATTATTTCCTGTTAAT